CTCCCAGCCCCGGGGGAGGGGAGGGCCGGGAGCGCTGGCCGCTTTCCGGGCCGGCCTCTGAGACACCCGGGCCGGCCGCTGTCCTCCCGGGCGCCCCGGCAGTGCCTCGGGCCTGGGCCCGGGGGGCTGTGTGTCCCGGCCAGCTCTGGCGCTGCGGGGTGGCGCCAGGCCGCAGGCACGGCACTGGGGCACGACCGCCTTTCGGGTAGGTGTTAACCCCTTCGTTGTTGGCTGCCTGCGCGACCCCGGCCCCGGCCTGGCCCCGCGCTCCAGGAGCGCCAGCAGCCCGAGGCATTTGCCAGGTGGGCACCTGATCTGCTGGGGCCTGACACGAGGCACCTCAGTGCCTCACGGCAGGGTGCCTGCAGCAGTGCATAGGGTGGCCATTCGTCCCGGTTTGTAGAGGACCGTCCTTTTTCTGGTTCTCTGTCCTTTATTGATATGAATCCGGACACCTTTACATCCTCTTTTTCACCACTTGGCACCACCGACACTGCTGTGGTAGCTCCCTGCTGGCTACTACCACACCCCCCTCTCCGCCACCGCCTGTGGGAGCTAGCCGTGCCCCTGGAGGCACGCGATGTTCATGGTGGTGGGGACACAGTTGCACCTGGTTTCCTCCGGGCTCCCCCTTTGCGTGTGACAGAGTCAAACTGGGCCATGAAGTGTGGTCTGCTCCAAGTTGTTAAGGTCCTTCAGTGCTTGTCAGTGAGGCAGGGCTGTACCCAAGGTTAGCTGTGGCCCGGGTTCAGCCTTCACCCTCAACATGGTGGTGGGGACACAATTGCACGAAATGCAGCTATCCTCTCTTCTTGAGGTACCTCGATGACCACCCTAGCAGTGCACCATGCTGCAGATGGTAACTGGCTGCACATCCAGCAGGGCAATGACAGCCAGGCCATGCACCACTGCCCTAAAGACGGGAAACATGGATCCCATCCCTTTCCCAAACCCTGACCCTGTTCTGGGTTTGCCCCAGTCTAGTGGCCTCCAGCAGCAGGCTCTAGAGGGGCTTTTCCCTGTGAGCAGGGTCTCTCTTCTTCTTGGCAGTGGTGGGGAAGTCCATTATATATCCTTCCCTTTCTGAGTGGGTTCCTGGTGTGGGGAGGGCAAGATATGTGTGGCTGGGTGGTGCTGTGTGCACTCAACCGAAGCTGCGTTGAGTCTGCAGTTGCTCTCGTGATGACACCTCTCAGTCAGCTCCTGAAGTTTAATGAGCATTTACTGAGGGCCCCTCTCAAAGGCCTCAATAATATTTATGAACTGCTCAGATGCAGCTTTGTGTGTTAATTGGGCTGTCATGAATGGTGCTGGTGCCAGAGAGACCGCCAGGAACCCCTGGCAGAGCTTTTGAACTTGAGCACCAGGCTTCCCGGGCCCTTTCTGAATGAGTGATGCTGATGTGCATGCAGTAGGGCAGAGCCCTCTGGCTGCATTGTCCATCTGGTCACAGCATGAGAGGCTGATACCAGCTGGAAGCCACACACAGCCAGCAGACTTGATGGGGCCTTGCTGCACCTGCAAGAGCTGGCTGCTCTGTTGCCTTCTGCAGGGGAGAGCCACAGTGTCCCTTCACAGAGGGTGGCTGCACAGTTGGGAGTTTTAATGCCTGAAGGGTGGAAAATAAAAGCCCAGTTGACATTTCAGTTTCCAGTGAGATAAACTGGGCTGGGGGCAGTGAAAGGGGACAGGAAACACCTTGCAGACCATGTGACCTGCAGTCCCCCGGAAATGGCATGGGCAGAGGCTGCCATACTCTGCATGAGCTGTTGGAAGCTGCAGAGCAAGGCCCAGCCATTCACTAGTCACAGAGGTACAGGGGTACTTTATGAGAGTGCTGGTTTCCCCTGGGCTTCCCCTTGTGTGTGACAGAGTCAAACAGTAGGCCTTAAAGTGTGGTCTGCTCCAAGTTGTTAAGGTCCTCCAGTGCCCGTCAGTGAGGCAGGGCTCCACTCAAGGTTAGCTATGGTCCAGGTTCAGCCTTCACCCTCATCAGGTGCCACTGGGCCCATGTCCCAGTGTCTGAGGACCCTGCATTGCTTCAGACGAGCTGAATTCAGCTGCACAGCTCTGTGCAACCATGATCACATCCTCCTCATACAGCTGGGCTGGCTGAGGGTGGAGGAGGGGGCTGGGACCTAACCACTAGGCCCAGCTACCACAGAGATGGGTGTAATATTAACCCTTTGATAGCTAGGTCTGCAGTCTGTCTGTGGTCTCCTGCCTCTAAGCCTGGTGCCACAGTCACTACTGCCAGCATGGCTGCTGGCATCTAGTGGATTTATGGGCGCTTTGGTGACCAGCTGGGGAGTTCAGCATGTGGCCTCACTTTCATGTTGCTTCCACAGATCTGGCCACATGGCTGGCCGTATAGTGCGTGTGGGGGGCATCCCGACAGACATCCCACCAGAGAGTGTTGCTGACAAGCTCACCATCCATTTCCTGCGCACCCGCAATGGTGGGGGTGAGATCGCTGACATCCAGATCACAGCTGACTGCCCAGGCTATGCCCTCATCACCTTTGAAGAGGAGGAAGGTAACAGGGCAAGAGGGCAAACTAGCACTAAACGGCATGTGGGGGTGAGGGCCAAATTATAACTGGCAAGAGGTCCCCAGAGGGAAACTGGATGCCCATGCACAAGATGGGAGGATAGTGGATCAGGCCCTAGTCCTGTTTGAGAACTCTCTTGGTACCCTGCTGCCTGCTTCTCCCTGGCCTCATGCCGCTGGGGGAGAACAAGAAGCCTCCCATCCTGCAACTTGGCTGGCACCACAGTAATGTTCAGGTGACATGTTACAAGAGACAGAAATTATGTCCTCACAGGCTCAGACTCTATAGTGCTTCCCTCCCTGGCTGGGAGCTCCCCAGGCTAGAGGGGACAGGGGAAGGTACTCATTGGTTTATATCGCTGTCCCCTGTCTAGTGGCTCAGAGGGTCCTGAAGATGGAGAACCACATTTTATCGACTGGTGGAAAGAAGTACCTGTTGAAGGTGACTGCGGCCTTAGCTGAGCCAAGCCCTGATGAGGTAATGAGCTGTAGCATGTGCTGAGGGAAGCTCTGGTTATGCTAGTCACACACCTGCCCCTGCAATAGCTCAGTGAGTGCCCAGATTGGTACTCCAGGGTGGCTCTGTGCCTCAATAGGAGGTAGAGCCTACCAGACCTCTAATCCTCATTGGATTTTAAACAAACTTGTTTCATTCATATTTAAATGAGGATTGAAAGGGACTTTCACTGATAACACCCACTTGCAGTGCAGTGACATGTGCAATCTCACACTTGATTCTTCTACAGTTGCAGTTACCCCAGCACAGGGGGAATGGTGTGGGGGAGGAGACAAAGCTTAGTCTGAGCCTGTGTGTATACAGACAGCTGCTGGAGGGGTGGGATTCTGTTCATTTCTTGGTCATTTCATTAGCTAGACTAGGAGGGATTTCCCTCTTGTGGGAGTTTAGGGGAAAGGCTGGGGGCTGAGGCTGTTAAACTTATTCCCATCACTGCTGCTCTTAGCTTTATGCTGTCTGAATGCAGAAGCTTGGCGTTAGAGCCTTCTGTCTGTGTCTGTTGCAGTTGTCTCCCCCCACAGTTCTGTGTTGTGTCAGACAGGCAGCCTGACAGTCTAAGTAGAGGGAGGAGGGAGACACTTTGATCCCACCCCTCTGCAAAGGATCCCTTAAGTATGGCTCTGGGGAGGCAGGGTTTCTTGAGCTCACTTGGTCTGAGCAGCTCCCTGCACATATAGCTGATGTAAGCACTGACCCTTTTTCTAAGTGTGGAAGGGACAAGACTTTGCCCTAGGTTGCTGGCTCCAGCCCTGACCCAACTGGTCTCCCCTATTAATTACATCCCTGAGGAGTGCTGAGGATCCCTGGCCAAACCCAGCCAGATCCACAGGAGGGAAGGAAGGGAGACACTGGGGCAACAAGCATTCCCAGACCCCAGAGGTTGTTTGTCTCCACATGGGAATTTGTATCCAACCTGGGATAAGCATACACTAGGTGGAAGGGAACTCAGAGTGCTGGCTCTTTTCGCCTTGGAGCATCTCTGGGAGCTGCACAGCTGGAAAGGCAGGGGCTCAGGGGGCTGGAGTGCACAGCAGTCCCTGTCTCCCAGCTCTGGGAGTGAATGGCAGCAGGACGCTTGCCTCCCTTGTGTAATGGGAGCGTGCTGTCAGCAGCTGCCCTCTGACTTCTTTTGCATAATCTTTGCAGATATTCGTGGGTGTTTCCATGATAATCGACTATGGGAAGTTCCCAGATGGCAAAACCCTCCTGAGAAACCTGCGTAAGGACTACAGTAATGTGCAGGTTAGCTTTGACCGCAGGGAGACCCTGTGCACCATTAAGGGGCCCTTCATGGAGATGCAGGCTTTCAGCAACCAGCTGCTGCACAGCTTGAACCTTGGGGGCCACCCCACTGTGGAGAGCCGTTTGGCAGGAGCCTGCCATGTGAGCAAGGTCCCTTACATGTCTGATTCTCAGCAAGGGTCCTGTTCCCCCCCACCAGAGCCACGGACAAAGAAACAGCCAAGTAGCAGCCAGGCATGTGAGGAGGCTGCTGAACGCCCGCTGCACAGAGAGCCTGTGGATGGAGAAGCTGTGGAGCAGCTGGAGGACTTCTCTTTGGTGATGGACTCAGACATCTACATGTACATGCAGAAGTTTTGCAGGGACCAGTACCAAGAGGTGCTGCGCCAGCACAAGGTAGATGTGGTGGATGTCAGCAGTGATGGTGTCACTATTCTGTACCTGCAGGCCTCCTCAGAGAAGCCTGGAGACATAGGATCCCTGGTGCAAGCCCGTCTGGTGCTGCTGCAACTCTACCAGCAGCTGGAAGTCAGTCTACGCAAGGAGAAGATCAGCAAGAAGGAGCTGAGCGGTGACAGCAGAATGTGGGGGGGGCTGCCAAGCATCCTGCAGAAGCTGTACCCTCAGCTACTCTGTCATGAAGATGAGAAGCATCTCTGTCTCATAGGGAATATGGTTGACCTCTCCCTGGCCAAGCAATACATCCAGGATCTAAGCACTAGGCTAGAGGCTGAACATGTGCTCAAGACACCCAGTGCTTCCCTGGCCCCAAACCTAGCAGCCCTCCACAGAGTAGACAAGCCTGCACCTACTGCGGATGTGTCCACTTCAAGGCTGAGGCCGGGCAGGTTGGAGCCAAAAGGAGAACACAAGCTGGCTGTGAACTTCAGTGTCCCAAAAGCCATGTCCCTTGCCAGTGCATGGCCCACATTGGATCGGAGCTCCCTGATGGCAGGGCAGGGGCAACTTCCTGGCAGCTGGTTGATGGAGGCCAAGGCTCTTGGCCAGAGCAGTCCAGCAGCACAGAACCAGCCAGCTGCAGAGGCTCAGCGGAAGGACAAGAAGGAACTGGATCGAATGAAGTCCAGTTCCCTGCGGGGAAGACCCAAGAACCTTAATTTGGTCAGCAGCAACAGAGAAGGCAGCCCACAGGGAGGGCAGAGTCTTGGGAGCCTGACAAGCTCTGGTCCCGTAAAGCCCCTGCCCCTGAGCAGTATGTCAAATGCCTTCCAGTCCCTGGGCCTCTTTGATACAACAGGGACCTGTTCTGCCTTGGACTCCAAACCCCTCTTATCCAAAGGTACCCTAAGACGGTCCAATAGCTTCTCCATACCACAGTCAAAGGAAAGCAGCAAGCCCCAAGACCCCAGCCAGACAGCCAGGGGAGACCCTGGGGTGATGGAGGAAATTAGCTTGGACCCTCTGCACTGGGCATATCTGAAGGACGTGCACCAGTCTGCTGTTGAGGAGCTATGCAGGGAGGCAGGCGTGCGGCTTATGGAGCAAGGCAGCAGTGACTGTACTTTGCTGATGCTCCAAGCTGAGGATAGGACCAAAGTTCTCCAAGCCAAGTGGAAGATGGAGTCTCTCTGTCTTCAAGTGTGTCCCAGTCTCATCTGCCAGAGCCTGAGCTATTCTGAACTTGATGTAGATGGGCCCAGCGATGCGGCCCTGGCTAAACTATGCAGTCTTCTGAAAGGCTGCTTGACTCAGGTGCATCTCAGTAAAGACAGGTACAAGCTACAGCTCACTTGCCCAAAGGGGCTGCTACCAAAGGTGAGTGAGGTCTTCCAGAGATTTTCTGCCTGGAGGCTGCATGCACTGCACTCTTTGCCCCAAACTCCAGGGCTACGCAGCACTCGAGGCACAGAGTGCCCAGGCACCACCCAGGAGGGAAGCAGTCCAGACCCTCCACTGGGCAGCTTGGGATCTCTGCAAGTGGGTTCGAAGCAGCTGGAGATTTACAGTGACACTGATCAGTCAGACATGCAAGAGGGTGGCTCTGGGCAGATTGGAGCTGATGAATTTGGACCAGAGAGTCTCAAGCGGAGCATCCCGAAAGCCAGCAACTCCCAGCCAGTGTTGGGGCTGGGAGACCTGACCTACCAGCCTGATTCCAGGGATGGGCAGGGAGACGGTGGTCACGTTGACACCAGCTTAGCAGACAACCAGCACTTGAGCCCAAGGGACTCTCAGGACCTGCAGAAGGAGGAGAGGCCAGTGGGAGAGCTTGAGGTGGCCAGAGTAAAGCAGGTCCTGCCTGACAAATTCCAGCTTACAAGAGACAGGAGCAGAGGAGGCCTCAGTGAGGAAGCAGGCAGCTTGCGGCCCCCTTTCCCCACAGTAGATGGTGCCCCACAGTCCTTGCCTATCTGGCTGTGCAGCTCTGTGAGTGCCCAGCCACCCCGGGCCATGGGGGAGAGATCCTCCATGCTGCAGCCTGGAAGCCAGAAAGAGCCCTCCTCTATAATAGAACCTGGGGACACACAGGAAGAGCCCAAGGCTTCAGAGGTGCAGCCAAGGAGCCCCAGCTCTGGCGCTGGGCAGGAAGCATCTCAGCACCAGCTGGAGACATGTGACCAGTGCCAGACCTTGCGCACGACAACCTGTTGGGCTCCAGGCGGCCGCACCCTATGCAGGGCTTGTTTTGCAGCACAGGACAGACTGCCCCTCTGCTCCAGTACCCCCTCCACAGCCAATCAAGGGACCTTCAAGATCAGCTCCCTGTCCCAGAGTCTGCCTGGCTTCTACCGTGACCCGACACTCAAGCTCGTCTACAACATCCCAGATGGGGTGCAGGGGGTAGGTAGCTGGGCCGAGGGACTTCCCATCTGGTGGGTGTTTGCTGTGGGTGGTTCAGTCCCCTCAGAGGCCGATCATGTGGGTGTGGCACCTGCACAAGTGACACAGTCAGAGGGAATGAAGTAGCAAGTGTATAGACAGGTGCTCTGGCCCTGTTTAGTCAGATAGTCAGTGGGTGCAGTGTGCCAGCCATCAGGCAGCCACAAGGGAGGATGGTGCAGGCAGCACAGCAGAGGAGCATCTACCCAGGGGACATTCAGACTGGGTTCCTGCTTCCTTACACCTGGTTTGGGGTGAGAGAGCTGGCTTTCTCCCAGTGCCAACTGCAGTACCTGCCATGGGATGAATGCTGGCTTCAGAGATCACCTGAGCCTATATCATAAAGTCCTAGGATTGGAAAGGCCTGCCAGGAACAGCAGGTCCTCTTCCCCACCCCCCCTGCCAAATATAGACTGTAAATAATGGAAGAGTCCCCACAACTTGCTTCCAAGGGCAGGTCCTCCCAGCCTTTTGAACAGCAGACCATGCTCCTCTGCTGCCAGAAAGTATAGACCAGGGACATGCAACCTCTGGCACACGTGCTAATTATTGGCACACGGAAACATTTTCCTTGGCATGCCAGGAGGTGTGTAAGGAAATTGTTTAAAAAAATATTTATTTTAAGTTGCTGCTCTGGGCTCTCTGGAGCAGCCACGGGTCCCGGGGCCAGAGTCCAGGAAACACAGGCAGGGATGCTGTCTGCATTCTGCTGACCCTGCTCCCTGTCCCAGGCTGTGGACTCCAGCCTGGCCCGGCCCCTGGAGGGGAGCTGCAGGTGGTTGAGGCTGGGGCCCAAAGGCACTGCAGAGGGCCACTGTGCTGGAGGCTCCCAGCTGGTTCAGCTTAGAGCACTGCCCACAGCAGCTGTTCCTGGGGCCCAAAGGGCTCCTGCAGCCGGGCCTTGTGGCCAGACCCTTGCACCAGGGGTGGCTCCACCCCACTTGCACTGCCCAGCATGCAGGAAGGCCGAGCCTGGAGCTGGGAGCTCCCTGAACCTGGCATCCTGCCCTGGCCAGGTGGCATCCCCTCATGGGCAGGGTGGCTGCAACCCATCCCCATGGAGTTGTGTGGGCCAAGCCAGGTACCACCTGGGGTGCCACTGGGTGCCCCCTCCAGCCCACCACAGCCCAAGTCTGCAGAGCCCTGAGGCAGCCCCCACTTCCTGCCTGGTCCCCACTCTCCTCCAGGTGCTGCTTTTCCAAGGGCCGGGCCAGGCCAGCCTGCCCATAGCGCCTCCCTCTGCACCTGCTTCTCCCCACACAGTCCAGACCCTGCCCTGAGCACCCAGCCCTGGCGCTTGTCGACCTGGTGCTGCCCCTAACCAGGTGGGATGGGTTGTCTGTCTACACAGGCCCCAGCCGGGCTCCCTCCCAGCCCTGGGCCCAGGCTCCCCTGCTCCACCCGGTATCACCTTCAGAGAGGCCTGAGTGTCCCAGCCCTGGTGGCTGCTGCTGGGGTGTCCCTGCCTCCCTCTGCTGGATGCTACCTTGTGCCAGCAGGCACGAGCTGCAGCCAGTAGCAATGGGAGACATGGGCAGCGAGGAACACACCTTCTTTCTCTTTTTCCTTTTTTTCTCTTTTCTCTTTGTTCATGTTTTCTTTTTCTTTTCTTTCTCCCTTTTCTCTTCTTTCTGTCCTTTTTTCCCTATTTCTTGTCTTTTTTCTCCTTTCTCTCCCTTTTTTCTTTCTCTTTTTTTTCTTTACCTCTATTTTTTCTCTCTCTCCTTTCTTCTTTCT